TTTTTGAAACGGAGTCTCGCTCTGTCGCCCAGGCTGGAGTGCAGTGGCGCGATCTCGGCTCACTGCAACCTCCGCCTCCCGAGTTCAAGTGATTTCTGCCTTAGCCTCCTGAGTAGCTGGGACTACAGGCGCCCGCCACCATGTCCGGCTAATTTTTGTATTTTTAGTAGAGACATGAGTTTCACTACATTGGCCAGGCTGGTCTCGATCTTCTGACCTCATGATCCGCCGGCCTCGGCCTCCCAAAGTGCCAGGATTACAGGCTTGAGCCACCATGCGTGACTGTGGCTGTGGTTTTTTCCTTGTTTTTGTTTTTGTTTTTTTTTGAGTCGGAGTCTGGCTCTGTCGCCCAGGCTGGAGCGTAGTAGCATGATCTCGGCTCACTGCAACCTCCTCCTCCTGTGTTCAAGCGATTCTTGTGCCTCAGCCTCCGTACTAGCTGGGATTACAGGTGCCCGCCACGGCGCCCGGCTAATTTTTGTGTTTTTGGTAGAGACGGGGTTTCGCCATGTTGGTCAACCTGGTCTCAAACTCCTGACCTCAGGTGATCCACCCGCCTCGGCCTCCCAAAGTACTGGGATTACAGGCGTGAGGCACCGCACCCAGCGACCTCTATTTCTTGATTCATCAATCTCTTTTGATTCCTACCATAATTTCACAATGAACCGAGCTATTATAAGATTTCCTTCCTCCTCCTCTGCCTTCCCCCTCTTGACTTGTTTTGGCTGTATTTTTTCTGTCAAGATTTACAACTGTAATTAAGTTTTGTTTGGTAATTATTTTTGAGAAGTTCCTATTAACGTGTGTAGCGGCCTGTCTAGCAGTCTTTTCTAAAAATTGAGTACCGCCTGGCGTGGTGGCTCGTGCCTGTAATCCTAGCACTTTGGGAGGCCGAGGAGGCGGATTGCCTGAGCTCAGGAGTTTGGAAACAGCCTGGGCAACACGGTGTAACCCCATCTCTACTAAAATACAAAAAAATTAGCCGGGCGTGGCAGCGTGCGCCTGTAGTCCCAGGTTCTGGTGAGGCTGAGGCAGGAGAATGGCTTGAGCCCAGGAGGTGGAGGTTGCAGTGAGCTTAGATCGCGCCACTGCACTCCAGCCTGGGTGACAGAGGGAGACTCAGTCTCCGGGAAAAAAAAAAAAATTGACTACAAGCATATAGCATTTATCAGGTTCATGTATTATTTGTTTCACATTATTTGATGGCCCATAGCACAGTCACATTTTCTCTATACTGGTGGTGAAGTCTGAAGCTTTTCCAGAGTTCCGCTGAGAATGGCTCTCATTGTCACTGCGTCATTCTCTGCAGTGTTTTGGCAATTTTAGTTTTTTTTTTTTTTTTTGGGACAGAGTGTGCTATGTCTCCCAGGCT